TAAACCTGTGACAAATGTTTGCTGTGGGACAAAGGAAGGTTATGCGTGTCTTTTCCATACGTGTCTTTGCAACTCTTAATGAACTGGATGATCTTCATTTACACACAAAATTAGCTTCTGGTAAGTTAATATGTTTTGTTGTTTTGCATATCTCAAACCTGTAAGGAATAGCATGCTTAAATCCTGTAGCTGATGCTGTTCTGGTGAATGAAGAAAAGTAATAATTTGATGTTGAAAATGGTCAGGGTGTCACTAGAGTGCTATGGTGTTACAGGGAAACAGAGCTAGTCTTCCAGAGGCAGATAGTCTTAACTTTGGAATGTGTCTTAGCATCAGGGTTATTAACTGTATGATGTACAGTTGAAGCTCAGACTTGAATTTTAGTGTAATTACTTTGATCTTAAACACTTGGTTTCATTTCTATCCTGGAAATAAAGGAATGAGAACTTACTTTTTCAGCTGTGTTGAAGTAAATTTGGAGATTTTTTTCATAGTTCTCTGACTACCAGTTCCTCAGATCACAGGAGAATTTCCTCTTTCAACTGAAAATTAAAGTTTTGGCAATATGTGTTTGTAAGGGAAAAAATAGTCTGTATCATTTTAGTAAGCTGTAAAATTCTCGATTTTTGCTTGTCATGGAACTATCTGTGAATTCTAGTATTTGTAGGTGTTCCTATTTTTGTAGGACACTGATTGTGTTGCTTTCTGCCTCTTCTTTTGTAGCTGCCTTATTATGAAGAGTAGCCTGCCAAAAGCTCTGCAGGGATTATTTTGACTGCTCAATGTATGTGCTGTGTTTATGTCTGACAACAGAATTGTTTGTAAACTACCATAAGCCTTCTGACACTTAGTTATCTTTATGGCTTATTTTTTTCTTTAACTCAATTTGTATACTCTGCTTTTCAGATATCTCTTATCATGGGCTGTTGTCTCTAGCCGTCTGTTGTGATCTTGTGTCAGGGAGGATACATCACCTTAAATGCACATTGCTGTCTCTTCTATGCACCCTGTGCTTTCAGCTAAGTGAAATCAAGCACAGGCAAAGAGGATGTATGTAATGAGGTTTTTAACTGTGGTTCATGTCTATACAACAGTGTTGGGCATACAGGCTACATGGAGAGGTGGAGTTGCTCCTAAATGTACTTCAGACAAAGCTTTTGAGTTGAAATAACCTGCATGTTAAGTTGTGAAATCTAAATTTGTCTGAGCCTTTGAAGAGGCACCGTGTAGGTTACCAATAACAGAGGAAGTGAAATGGCATCTCAGGCTACCCCGATGGTCACTTCAGTAGTGTACTTGGGAGAAGTGTCCGACTGGAGCAAGGCAGAGACCAGGAGTGTGTGTTATTGGGTCAGCAATTGAGGGTTTGGGCAGAATTTCAGGACAGATTTTGACCTGTTTCCCTCTGCATCTCAGCCCTGAGTCATCCCTGTAACCTGCTTGTGAAGACTTGTAGCCAGCTCTGACACAGGGCTTACCTGGGCTGTGAGTGGCAGTCTTGCTTTAATGGTGGCTTGTTAACTTGAAGCCCCTACATAGAAACTGCTGTGTCTGATGGTAACTGCCTGTTTTGCCACAGTATTTCAGCAAACTCTTGTATGGAGTACCCTGAATTTCTCAGTATAACCTATTACCTCATATGTTAGTGGCTTTGCCCTTCTCTCCTGAGGACACAACCATTAATAAATTTCTCAGAAGTCTTCTTCCTTGTAGCTTAAATGAGTGCAAAACTTGGAGGCCTGAGAATCAGTGGCTGTGACTCTGCCTGTTGGAACATGTACACCCGAGAAGAGCGAACACTGAGATTCACAGAAGGCTCTTTGCATCTTCCTGGTTAATGGTTTTCTTGAGCATGAATTTTGTGTAGAGCACGAGATTTAATCAGGTGCTATACTTCAGAGTTTAATTCCACCTTCCCCTTAAGTGACAGAACTAATGAAGTAAGGGATGGTCACTTAAATGAATAGATGAAGTCTCCCTAATTTAGCAGTAACAAGTGGGTTTATTGTCTGCTTCCTTCTTTTGAACTCACCATCCTGTAAAGTTATGCCAACACACTGTGTGGAGGGCAAGCAAGGATATCTCCTGGGAATGAGTTTACTCTTTTGTTGTTCACCTGCTAATCTCATTAGCCTGTCAAAGAAACTGTATTAATTTGCTCCACAAAGGTCTACTGAAGTTAAGAAAATTAGTTTGTGAACAAATTTTATCTGAAAACTAAGATGCCACCTAATTTGGTTTTTCTCAGCTGTGTTATTTATATCATAGGTTACAGTTTGGGCATCTGTTGTTTAAAAAAAACCAAAAAAACTCTCTTGACAGGTTTTATGGACTGAACTGGATTAATCTAGATCATGTATAAGGAATTGTTGCCTTGAAAGCTGTAGAGATCTTCCAAAGGGATCACCTGTCTGCAGCTTTCTCTGTGTGATCCCACTCCAGCACCCCTGTGTTTCCCACATGCAGTGCTGCTCCTGGCCAGCGTGCCTGTGCAGCATCCTCTTACCTCTCCAGTTCCTCCTGTCACACCAGGCTTTATTCTTTGCCCAGCACTGGCAGATGATGCAGTTCCACTGCTTGTGATGTTTCCACGATCTCTCCAGTCCACTGTTACCTACAGCTGTTTTGCAGGTTGACTTTTCCCATCCAGAATTGCTCCACAGCTGTTGCTGCTGCCACTTGCTTCCCTTTCACACCTAAAGGCCAGTCTGCAGGAATGGGTTGCCAGGGAGAAGGAACTACAGCATGGGAAATGCTGAGCAGCCAGGAGTGGGGTCAGTGCAGGACTGGAGAGGCCAAAGAGTCTCCAGCAGGCTTAGATATTGCTTTCAGTAAAACAAATTCCTGCATGTGTCTTCAGGTAGTTAAAATCTCAGAAATTGAATTTGGCAGCATGATTCTGTGTGCGTTGGTCCAGTGGAAACATAACAAAATTTCTGTTAAACAAAATGATCAATCATGCTTGGAAAAACAACCCATTTAGTGGTACTGAATAGGAAGCTTTTCATACTGTAGTGTAGCAGGGTAGAAGGAAGTGTTTTTGTGGAATATGTTGAAGGAACTTGCACATGTTGCATTGCATAAATGGCCACTCAGGCAGCAGGACTTTCAATCCTGTTATAGAATGTAGGAAGTGACAGAACTGCTCTGCTCAGCTCTTGCCAAGCAGCATGAGTGGAAGGACCTTATGGCTTCCATTCAAAAGTTTTTAAGGGAATTGTTAACTTTATACACTTGCCTGGCAAGAGGACTGTGAATGAAAGGGACTGAAATTGGGTAGTGGAACAATTGTTAAAACAAAGCCTATGCTTTAACAGAGTGAATGAGGTGTTTTGGGTGTTTTTTAGATTTCTCCTTCTGCAGGACAGAGAAATAGTGCTTATTATGACATTTACAGAAAAAAAAAAAAGACCACATTAATTTGGCAGGCACTTGCTTATCTCAGGTGCTGCCTTGATACAAATTGGCAGAAGTTATTGGTTTTTAACATTTTTCTCTCTTTTTTTTTTTGCTTTTCAACTGTCTGTTGCAACTGTTTGCTTCAGTGTAGCTGTGAATAGGATCCCTTGATTTTATTTGTCAATTAAATTTTGCATAGTATCTCAGAGTACTTGTTCTTCTTAGCTGTGCTTTTCAGGTTGCAAGTTTTTCCTTTGTGGAGAGGGCAGGAGGCAATGGGTGGTATCTTTTGATGGTAGTTTTCACTGTGACTAAAATCATTCCCCAGCCTTGATACTTCATAGCTCTTCCCCTTCCCTCCATGCTTCCTAAGCTGGGACAAATCAGTAATGTTATGGCCTTTGTGATTGGAAAATTTACTGCAAAGCAGCATATTTTTTGTTAAATGCTTGTTAATCAGGATTACCTGATGAAAGAGGAACTGCTGATAGCTGATTAAATACAAATTAACGCTGAATTTTTCATGCTTCTTCAGCTGGATTTGAAATGACATGACAGGGATTTTATATTTCTAAAACAAGTTTGTGCTAAAAACAGATGCATTACAAAATATGCTTGACTTTGCTGTAGAAGCAGAAAGAGAATTGGAGTACAAAATGGGAAGATCACTCTTTGAAAGAAACCTTGACATGTGACATATTAGAAGGGTGGATTCTGGTACCAGGAACACCCGAAGTAGGAACAGCAGTGGTTTTACTGGAGACAGGTTAAGTGGCAACGCTCAAATATTTTAATTACCCGAAATCCCTCAAACAGAAGCAGCCTACAAAACCTCAAAGGGATAAGGTTTATGAACCTTTCACCACAATAGAAAGGTGCCAGTTTTGGCCAGTTCATCATCCAGTTACTGTACTAAAAAGGGTAGACTGCTATAGAAATCTGCTCCAAATGAACTTAAACACCTTTCGAATGCTTGCAGTGGAATCTGTGCTGCATTTCCGTAGGAAATGCTGTTTTGTCTGACCATCCAAATAATGGTTTGTTTCTAAACTAGAAGATTAGTTTTGAAGCAGGAAATCCTGGTTAACATACAGAAAGTTCAGAAAGGTAAAAACTTTCACTGGCTACATTTTTCTTTAACTGATGAAAACTGTAGCAATGAAGCATTTTTTCCCTGTGTGCGATATGTATATATATATAACACTGTAAATAAAGCTTGAACAGAGACCTACTTTTTTCTGCTGCAATTATGTGTAACTTGGCTCCGTAATGCAGAGATGTAATGCTCTATTTTTTGTGCCGTAACTATATGTGACTTAACTCGGTAATGCTGAGATGCAATGCTCTATTTCTGATGCTTGTGATCATGGCTGGCTAGTGGCCTTACCGACTCAGGGTTTGTAAGGATGCCTCTCCATTCACTTGTAATGTCACTTCCATAAAATAACAAGTGTTTTTGAAATTGGTGTGTTTTATTTGCATTCCTGAGGAATTATGTAGGTTCCTTGGCAGGATCAACTTTGATTTACCCCTGGCACTGGCTTATGTGATTGAAATGCTGTATATTGTTTGTGTTTAATGGGGTTCTTCTGTTTTTTCAGATCTGAAGGCGAGCTGCTGCATTGGTAATCTGAAGAAGGCAGTTCTCTGTTAAGACTGCAAGAAGATACTACCAGCTGGTAAACATTTCCTTAGGTTTCTTTTCTTGTAGAATGTTTCTTAGTTTTCCATAATATTTTAGGCCAAGAAGTAGGAAGTATTTTTGTATATATTTTGGATCTATTGAAAGCAAGAAGTAGCTCATGCAATATTTTTTCTTTCTAACTGTCTGTAGCTTACCAGACAAAAGACTCAGTAGCGGTGGATAACGTGGGTATTTAAACTGGAATACAAATTGATTAGATTCCTGTTCTCTTGGTAGGAGAAGAAAGACTGGGTTTTTTCCTGTATTGGCACGTTAAACATTGTCTATTTGCCTTTTTAGCTGAGACAAATACAATGCATTTGTACCCGGTCCTATATAAATACTGTTTGAAGTGTGGTAGTGCAAACAGTGAAACTTCAAATCTGATGCTTCAGAGTCTGGAGAGAGAAGAAAGGAAGCTTTAGCAGAACTTCAGATGTTTTGGAAGATGCCATTAATGTGCTTGTAATTGTTCAATGACTGTTTGGTGAAGCATAATTTTCACTGAAAATAATATAATAAAACTGAGGATGTCTCGTAATTTCCAGGTGTTTAAAGTCGTGTACAGGCTGCCTGTAGGTTGAGTGATAAAAGGATCATCAGTGAAGAGCTATGACCACTTAACAGCAGTTTGCCAGCCCATAATTTGTTAAACTACACTATTACAAGCAATCACAAGAAAACATGAGGATTTAGGACATTTGAATATGTCTTGGTGTTGATAGTGGGTACCAGATTTGCAGCTCACTTTTCAAATAATTAATGTTATGCATGAAGTAGCAGTTTTCCTCTGTAATTGTACCTTACTATCTACCTTCTGTGAAACTGGAATCCTACCTTTCTGTTTATTGCCACCACTTGAGCTCCAGGGCTTAGTAAACTTGTGTCAGGAGGGTTCTCAGCCCAGAATGGGGTGATGCAGCTGGGTTCAAAGACGAACATGGAAAGAAGCAGTATCCTAGCCAGTAAGAAAACATTGAACTTTTATCACTTATGCATTTACAGATGCTTTATTAATCTTCACTTGCCAGTTAATTTGCCTAAGTTTTGTAAGCCATCGAGGATAACTTTATGAAGTTGTGTTGTGTAGCTGTTGCAGAGAATATTAAACTACTCTGTTCTGTTACTCTGCCAAACCTAGATTAATGATAGAAAAGTTTTGAAGGCTTATAGTGGTCAATAATGTGCATGTTAGAAGTGACGTAGTAAAAACAATGTCTGACTTTTTAGTCTTTTTTTTTATATAAGGATGACTTGCATAGTACAGCTCTTTGTGGTAATTTCAACAGCTTTGTTGCCTGGCCATGTAAAGTTGCAGCTCCTGAAGCTAAAATGCATATGAGACTCTTCCCCAAATACTTAGTTTGAAAGTGCATGTCCTTAAACTTACAGGAGAAAGAACCTGTGGTGTGTAGTGTGTCACCATTGGAGGTACCAAAACACTGCGTGGCCAGCATAAATTTTGAACCATGTTATAATTATCTGATAGTTATTTTTAGGTTATTACTTTAGATTATTTTGATGGTATATGGTGTGAATAAGTAATGTGTGTCTGTCCCTAAATTTGGGTTCATATCTTGCCCCATACAGAAGACTGAAAAGCTCATTAGCCTAGAAGCTAAGGGCCCTCTGTCCTTTTCCCTACTTTGGCTTCCTTTCCTACCCCATCATCTCCCCATTTCTCTCAGAGAGAGGAGTTTAATAGGATGGCCATGCTGACTGAACTGGGTAGTTCTATAAAGTAGTTCTTTGTCTGCAACTGTGGTAAAGTATTTGTCTTAATTCAGCTTAGTTTGTGCTGCACAAACTTGATTTCACTGTCTCCAGCATTAACTTTGATCTGGGAAGACTGAAGCTGAGAGGCTGCTGAGCTCTACTGCATTTTAGACCTGACACAGGTCTCAGCTCAGGCCCCCAACTATGGGAACGTGCTGAAAAGAGAATGTGATACACAGATGCCGCATCCCTTGGGGCAGAACGTGTCTGGTCCTTGAAGTGGTGCAGACTATCCCAAGTGCGTGTGAGACATGCATGCCCATCTTATCTGGGTGGTATTTCTTCTGGTTAGGATGTTTCAACTGTCCATTATCACAGGACACTGAAGGACATATAAAATTTTAGTGTTTGCCCTATTTTTCATGTATTAGCTGTTCTTTTTCATTATGCTAACTTACTTGTATGGGATTATTTTCCAGAGTATCAGTCATTCAGAAAAGATCTTGATAATTGTCTCCTGCTTTGACATATAATCTCTGATAATTATTCACTCTCATTTTATAGCGTTATCTCTTATATGCAGCTTGAACTTGTCTGCATCCTTGAAGATTTAAAAATCTTTCCACACAACTTAGAATTGTTCCCCTGTAATGATGATAGGGAGATGTTTTGAGCAAACTGATTAATATGTTGTGGAGTCTTTGTTCAAGGACTAATATTGCACTGTTGGTGGATTAACAGGTTTTGCATTTATGCTAATTTTAGTAAATATGAAAACACCTTCAGTATTATGTTTGCAAAGTGGAAGCAAATGCATACCTGTCACTTTATTAGTTTTGAGAACTCTTTGTTGTGGCTTGTATAGCTCTCACAAAAGTAGCATTTGTCTGGCTGACACATTTTTAAATGTTTTGTTTCGTCTTGGGAAGAATCTTTAAATTCTCTTCAGTAACAATGTGAGTCTTTTAGCGCAAAGCCCTTAATATGTGTTAAATTTAAAAAGAGCAGAAAAGCTTGTTGTACCCTTAACTGTGTGCCTGCAAAAGGTTAGAAGTGAAGGATCTCATTCAGAAGAGATGCTGTATTGAGTGAGGCCTTATTGCATGTGTTTACAGTCTTCTGTATGACTTTGACCGTTGGGGAAGTTTATGTAAAGTCAAATGTGGTGCAAAAAATATAAAGCAAGGTTCTGTTTTGTTTTGCTCAGTGATAAATGTTAAACTAGGAAATAGGTGTTATAAATGTGCAGCTTTTAATGGGTGCTTTCAGAAGGACTTTTTTTTTTCTGGGAAACTTATAGAACCAACATAGAAAGTGGTGAAGTTACAAATGCTTCTGAGCAACTTGAAAAGCTTTCAGTGCAGAGTCTACCAGATACCAACAGCAGAGTAATATGGGAACATCGGGGTAAAAGAATAATCCACAACAATGAGGTTATAGACTGTAAATACACGAAGAAAAATTGACGTCTTCCTGACAACTGAAACCACTTTTACTTCCCATTTGTGCCACTAGTTAAAAACAATCTCCTTTGGTGGCGTTGCTCTAAATATATTGTTGTTGGCTTGCCTGTAAATTGAGCAGAACCTCTTGAATTGATTTGCCACCCATGTGAAAGTGGGTTTGTGGAAATGGTTCTTAGTACATGGAGTTCAAGTACTTCTTGTGTTTTTGACACTCAAAACATTGTGGTGGAAATTCTGATCATGTTACTGATATTCCACCAGCATGCATTTATTTTGTATTAGTGCCAGTATCTAAGGTAAGGAGGAGGTTCTTTTAGGCTGAACTGAACTGTCTTCTACTTATTTGCTGTATTTTATCTTGGAGCTTGTTTTATATGGCTCACTGCAATAGCACAGGAATACATCAAGGGGCTAAAAGCTTTTGTGCAATTCTGTGTTTTTTTTAAAGTCTAACAGTGTGTATTATCAGTGTAAATAATCTGCCTGTGCTGAGGCAACGTAATGTGGTATCTTTTCTCCCACAGTAGATGTACAATTACTTAAAACCTTGAATAAAGATTGTATTAATCTGCAAACGATCAATGACAGGATTTTTTTACTATAATCAGGCAGATTTCAGTGTAGACCTCTTCCAAAATATCCTTTTTTTACATGTAGTAGTCCTACTGCAACAGTTAGTAGAGTAAGTTTAAAAAGAAGTGAGCTTTGAATTTGGTTTAAAGGCTCATTTAGTAAACTGTGTTCTCCTTGAGACTTCAGCCATGTGGATTTGTTTATGAAGGTAAAGCTGCTATTTTTCTCTACCTGTAAATAGTAGCTCAGGACAACGTGAACTGTTTAATTCTGTTTGTCTGATGAGTCTTCAAATCAAAGGCATTAATTTAAGGATTGTTTTGACTTTTCGAAAAGTCACTTTTAAACAGACCAGCAAAATATGTAAACTTTTCTCATCAGAAAGACATTTGACCTGAAAAGATTGTTGAGACAGGTGACTGGACTTTCGTATTAAGTGTTATGTGGTCTGTGCTGTTAGGTTAATGTCAGATATTACTTATTTCACTTCCTGACTTAGAGAAAGATTCTTAAATGATAGTTAAATGATAATTCTAGGTTTTGTGAAGGAAAAGTTGTTGGTTTGACTCTGTAGGGACTTGAACTGTAAGCATGCAGTCCTTCAGATCTGCTTAGTATTCAGCTTATTGCTTGACCACATAACTGCAGCTTTATTATTTGGAATCATAGAATATCTCAAGTTGGAGGGACCCACAGGGATCATCAAGTCCAGCTCCCTGCTCCTGGCAGCACTGCCACTAAACTGTGTAACTAATAGCACTGTCCAGATGTTCCTTGAACTCTGACAGGCTTGGTGCCATGACCATTTCCCTGGGGAGCCTGTTCCAGTGACCAACCACCACTTCAGTGAAGAAACTTTTCCTATTGTCCCATTGGAAGTTCCTCTGATGCAGTTTGCCTCCCTCTAGCTGGGCAAGCTGGAGGTGCTTCCAAGGTGCTATGTGACAGTTCCTCTGTGTTTAGAAAGTGGTGTTTCCTGGCTTGTGGATGAGTTACACCTCAGAGGAGCTGCCTCTGCTGAACCTTGCTTAGTGGGGCAGCACTAGGGACCCTAGGGGAAGAACTTAAAAGTGAACTGCTTGGGTATCTCCTAGAACCTGCTCAGCCCTGAGTCTGAGAGGAGCATGTGGCAAAACTTAGTGCTGCTGGTTTCTGCAGGAAGGGCTTTTTGGGCTTTTAAAAATCTGATTTGTGTTCCTTGAAATCTGGAATAAACAAATCCATTGTCTCTGAACAGCAG